AGAGTGATGGGGGTGAGGGTTTTTCAGCTGTTTATCACCAAAACAGTTCCCACTCTGACCCCATGGAACGCAACACGGCCTAAGTGTAGGGAGCAGGAACCTATCATGCTGCAGGGTGGTTAGAATCCACTTGTCTTTCACAACTTTCTTATATAAACATTGCCAGAGATGTTAGATTGTTATGATTATGAAATAAACCAATGCCTTTGTAATTTAAAACTGATGAGACTTTTAAGTTCTAAGGGAAGAAAAAAAATTAATTACATGACAGCACTAATCCGTATAGGGTAAATGGCATCAGCATCCTTCTATCTATGTTAGGCAGAGAGCAATTCATTAAAATAAATGTTCTGCCAAGATTATTATACCTGTTGCTGATGATTTGCTCTTAAATTAAGTCTAATTTGTTCAGGAACATAAATCACAGTGTCGATTTGTGTGAGAGGCAGAAAAGGCAGACTCATGGCAGATGATTCCACTGACAAAGAGATAACCCAATCACTTTAAATCTCATTGGTGGACTGTTCCGGGTTTATAAAATATCTGAGATTCTACATATGCAGATATTGCTTATGGCCTAATTCTATTAGGAATAGTATACAATTGATTTTTATTTTCTTTGGTTATGTGTTTTTTTGAAGGAATAATCTGAATCCATTTTCACTGATACCAAGTAATATGGAAACTGTAAATGTACTTTTTTTTTTTTTTTTTTTGAGACTGTAATCTCACTCTGTTGCCCTGGCTGGAGTGCAGTGACGCAATCACAGCTCTACAGCATCAACCTCCTGGGCTCAAACTATCCTCCCACCTCAGCCTCCCAAGTAGATGGGACCACAGGCGTGTACCACCACACCTGGCTTATTTCTTGTAGAGATGGGGTCTCTATGTTGCCCAGGCTAGTCTTGAATTCCTGGGCTCAAGCAATCCTCTAGCCTCAGCCTCCCAAAGTGTTGGGATTACAGGCATGAGCCACTGCGCACCCAGCCTAAACTTAACTTTGTTAGGGGGATAGAGTCTCACTCTGTCACCCAGGCTGGAGTGCAGTGGCGCGATCTCGGCTACTGCAACCTCCGCCTCCCAGGTTCAAGTGATTCTCCTGCCTCAGCCTCCCAAGTAGCTGGGATTACAGGCACCTGCCACGATACCTGGCTAATTTTTGTATTTTTAGTAGAGACAGGGTTTCACCATGTTGGCCAGGCTGATCTCGAACTCCTCCTGGTCTCAAGTGATCTGCCTGCCTCAGCCTCCCAAAGTGCTGGGATTACAGGTGTGAGCCATCATGCCACACTCTAAACATTTTTATTTTATTTTATTATTTTTGAGACACAGTCTTGCTCTGTCGCTCAGGCTGGAGTGCAGTGGCACGATCTTGGCTCACTGCCGCCTCCACCTCCTGGGCTCAAGTGATTGTTGTGCCTCAGCCTCCTGAGTAGTTGGGATAATAGGCGTGCATCACCACGCCTGGCTAATTTTTGTCTTTTTTGATAGAGACAGGGTTTTGCCCTTTTGGCTAGGCTGGTCTTGAACTCCTGACCTCAAGTGATCTGCCTGCCTCAGCCTCGCAAAGTGCTGGGATTACAGGCCTAAGCCACCGCGCCTGGCCTAAATTTAACTTTTTAATGGACAAGCAAACCAACAATTTTGCATGTAGGAACCAGGGTCAATGATCATGCCAACTGAGTCATACAGTGGCATCAAGCCTTCTAACTTTTGGGCACAGGTGGTTTTTTTCTAGCCTTTTCATGACAGAATGACTGACTATTCTGTGGTTTCTTCGGAAAATACAGTCGTTGGGGAAGGCCATCAGTAAAAAGCATTGTGAGTAAAATACATCAAGAGTCATACAGGTGAATTCAGTTCACTGCTTTACCACTTACAAGTTGAACAATCTAGGGCAAATCCCTTAATCTCTCTGAATCAGCATTTTTAATCTATATAATGGGGGTAATAATACCCCAGGTCTATAAAAATTAGCATTCAGTAGGAGAACACAATAAAGTTTGTGAATGCTTAATAAATATAAACTACAATCTTAGTACTAAACTCAAGGAACTCTGCTTGGACCCAGCATTGCGCCATTGATATGTGCTAGCCAGTTTCTTGCAAGCAACAGGAACAAACTTTGGTTAAATTTTGCTAGTTGTCTTGCTAATGCCCTTTTACTAGACCAGGGTCCAGTCCAGGAGCACGCATTGTAATATAATGTTTCCTTAGTCTCCTTTCATCTGACACAGTCTACCTTTGAAAAGTATTGGCCAGTTATTTTATAGGACGTCCCTCAGTTTTGGTTTGATGTTTGCTCATGATTAAATTCAGGTTATGTATTTTTAGAAAGAATACCACTGGCTGGGCGTGGTGGCTCATGCCTGTAATCTCAGCACTTTGGGAGGCTGAGGCAGGAGGATCACTTGAGTCCAGGAGTTCAAGACCAACCTGAACAACATTGGGAGACCCCGTCTCTACAAGAATTAGCCGGGCGTGATGGTGCATGCCTGTGGTCCCAGCTACCCAGGAGACTGAGGTGGGAGGATCACTTGATCCCGGGAGGTTGAGGCTGCAGTGAGCCAAGATCATGCCACTGCACTCCAGCCTGGGCAACCCTGTCTGGAGTGAGACTCTGTCTCGGAAAAAAAAAAAAAAAAAAAAGTAGTAGTATTCTGTTCTTACTGTTTGTGTAAGACGGGAAATAAGGAAACGTGCATATACAGGTTGACTACCCCTTATCTGAAATGCTCGGGACCAGATGTGTTCCATATTTCAGATTTTCTTGGACTTTGGAATCTGGTTGAGCATCCCCAATCTAAAATTCCACAATCAGAACTGCTTCAATAAGCATTTCCTTCATGTGTCATGTCTCAAGAAGTTTTGGATTTTGGAGCATTTTGGATTTCAGCCTTTAGATTTGGGATGCTCAACCTGTATCTTCTTACTTTTGTAAAGAGAAATATGGGAAGTATAAGCCAGAAAACAATAAAGTTAATTATAAGATGTAGGAGTAGACAGAATGGAACAAATAAGGGAGGAAACAGCACGACTACAAAGAGTAGACCTTTTTGTATAGTTTTAATGCCAGAAGGTCAAAGGAGGCAGCTTCAAGGGGCTCCCACTGTCCAAAGTTGGGCCAATTTCAGCATCAAAATTAAGAGGACAGTAATAGATTATAACCCACTGAATAAAATGAAAAAATGAATAGATTATAACCCACTAAATAAAATGAAATCCATGAGACCATATTGATAATAAGTAGATAAGTAAATAAATGGGGAGAGAAGGAAGGGTATTCCTTATATTAGAATGCTGACTGATATATGTATATGTATATATCCATATACATATATGTATACATATACACATATATGTATATATCACACATATACATATATGCCACCCAGGCTGGAGTGCAGTGACACAATCATGGCTCACTGCAGCCTCCACCTCCCAGGCTCAAGTGATCCTCCCACCTCAGCCTCCCAGGTACCTGGGACTACAGGCGTGTGCCACCATGCCCAGCTAATTTTTGTTGTTTTTTTTAAAAAATCTTTTTATTTATTTTTTTATTTTATTCTTTTGAAACAGGTTCTTGCTCTGTCACCCAGGCTGGAGTGCAGTAGCATGATCTCAGCTTACTGTGACCTCTGCCTCCCAGGCCCAAGTGATCCTCCAACCTCAGCCTCCCAGTAGCTGGGACCACAGGCCCGTGCCACCATGCCCAGCTAATTCTTTTGCATTTTTGGTAGAGACAGGGTTTTCACCATGTTGCCCAGGCTGGTCTCAAACTCCTGAGCTCAAGTAATCCACTTGCCTCAGCCTCCCAAAGTACTGAGATTACAGGAGTGAGGCACCATGCCTGGCCCTAATTTTTGTATTTTTTGTAGAGATGGGGTCACGCTTTGTTACCCAAGCTGGTCTTGAACCCCTGGGCTCAACCAGTCCTCGCCACTCAGCCTCCCAAAATGCTGGGATTACAGGCCTGGGCCACCGCGCCCAGCCAGTAGTCCCCTTTAATCTGGAATAAGACAGAGAAACAAAACAAAAGATTGGAGGAAACCGTGGTTCAATGGGGGCTGAACAAAACCCATTCCCTCCTGTCAGTTCATTGTACTGGGGGACCGAGACCAGACTACAATGACAAGGGGCATTTTATAGCTAGAGAAACTGAGGTACACAATACACTTAATCTAACATTCTTGTAGCTACTGGAAGATGCTGGATAACCATACAGCCTTCAGCCATTGTATTCACATGAGAAAAACAATGAAAAAGGCAAAAGATTAGAATCAGGGCCGCAGATGGCTCTAAAATTACTTTCAGCAGTATCTGAAAATAGCGAGCCAATGTATCTGCCTATTGTTTTATTCATTCAGCTTCTCTTGAGGCACAATGCTATTTATTCCCTTTGGTAGAATTTAACAGCAAATATTCCAGGAAGTCAGTACAGGATATGGCAAAAAAAAAAAAAAAAAAGTTTCATAAAATACTCAAATCCTAAGTGTTTTGTTTCACAGCCATAATTCAAGAGCAGGTATGTTTTTGTAAATGTGGGCCAGCATTCCATGGCAAATTTAATGAAATACATTTCTGATTTTTATTGTTTTAAACCACAGACAGAAAATCACTTAAAAAATATAATGTTGCAATCATTAGACTGATACTGACTCAGACAAGAATCATCAATGTATGCTAGAACTAGCGGGTTAAATATTTAATGAGGAAATAGATATTTACATAGTCTCAAAGTATGTCTGCACAAATTACTTATTAATTATAAAGGGAAAAATACTAACTTAGCAGTAGAGAAACCTGGTGAACACTACCTTAACATCACTAATAAGCAGATATCACATGCCTCCCAGTGTGAGGCACTGGGGACATGTCGTTGCTGTGGTGTTCGTGCCAAAAATGAACACCCTGAAGGTAGCTGTCTTAGTCCATTTGGGCTGCAATTACAAAATACCTTAGACTGGGTAATTTATAAACAACAGAAATGTACTACTCACAGTTCCAGAGGCCAGGAAGTCCAAGATCAAGGTGCCGGCAGATTTAGTGTCTGGTGAGGGCTCATTGTCTGCTTCATAGATGGCTCCTTCTTTCTGCGTCATCACATGGCAGAAGGGATGAACAAGCTCCTTCGGGTTCTTTTATAAGGGCACTGATTCCATCCATGAGGGTGGTGCCCTCATGGCTTCATCACTTCCCCAAAGGCCCCACCTCTTAATATCACCTTGATGGTTGGTTAAGTTCCAACCTACGAATTTTGGGGGAAGGCATACACACCCAGATCATAGAAGCAGTCATCAGGAAACATTGAATGAACCCCAGTTGAGGGGCATTTTACCAAATTGCAGGCTTGAACTCTTCTAAAATGTCAAGGTCGGCCAGGCGCCGTGGCTCACGCCTGTAATCCTAGCACTTTGGGAGGCCAAGGCAGGCGGATCACCTGAAGTCAGGAGTTCGAGACCAGCCTGGCCAACATGGTGAAACCCCATCTCTACTAAAAATACAAAAATCAGCTGGGCTTGGTGGCACACACCCGTAATCCAAGCTACTCAGGAGAATCACTTGAATCTGGGAGGTGGAGATTGCAGTGAGCCGACATCGCATCACTGCATTCCAGCCTTGGCAACAGAGCGAGACTGTCAAAAACATAAAACAAATGTCAAGGTCATGAATGCCAAAGAAAGGTAGAGGATCTGGTCTAGATTAAAGGAGACTAAAGTGACATTACAATTAAGTGCCATGTGTAATCCTGGTCTGGATCCTAGACTAGAAAAACAAAATTGTTATATTGGACGTTATTGAGACAATTAGCCAAATAAGAATACTGATTGTAGATTATAGTATTATATCAATGTTGAATGTCTTGATTTTGATGGGTGTATTGTGATAATATAAAAGAAAGTTTACAAAAGTCTATATGCTTAGAAAATACATACTGAGGCCGGGCGCGGTGGCTCATGCCTGTAATCCCAGTACTTTGGGAGGCTGAGGCGGGCGGACTACCTGAAGTCAGGAGTTCGAGACCAGCCTGGCCAACATGGTGAAACCCCATCTCTACTAAAAATACAAAAATTAGCCGGGCATGGTGGCAGGCACCTGTAATCCCAGCTGGAGATTTGGGAGGCTGAGGCAGGAGAATCGCCTTGAACCTGGGAGGTGGAGGTTGCAGTCAGCCAAGATCGTGCCATTGCACCCCAGCCTGGGTGACATAGAGAGACTCCATCTCAAAAAAAAAAAAAGAAAAAAAAGAAAATACACACTGATGCTCTTAAGAAATACTGTTAAGGGCCAGGTGTGGTGGTTCACACCTGTAATCCCAGCACTTTGCCAAAGCAGGCAGATGGCTTAAGCCCAGGAGTTCAAGACCAGCCTGAGCAACATGGCAAAACCCATCTCTACAAAAAATACAAAAATTCGCCGGGCATGGTGGCACACGTGTAGTCCCAGCTACTTGGGAGGCTGAGATGGGAGGATCACTTGTGCCTAGGAAGTTGAATCTGCTGTAAGCCATGATTGTATCACTGTACTCCAGCTTGGGTGACACAGAGAGACCCTGTCTCAAAGAAAACAAAAACAAAAACAAAAAACCAATACCTTTAGGCTAGAGAGAAGAGTAAAGCAAATATCGCAAAATGTTAACGGTTGGTACATCTAGGTAAAGGGTATATGGGAGCTCTTTTGAGCATTTGTTTCTCTGTTATACCTGTTTTAGATTTTTCTAAGTTTTCTCAGCTTGAAATTATTTCAAAATGAAAAGTTAAAAAGAACAATTAAAATTAAGTAATGCCACCTTTATGGTCTGCTGCACTGGACCTCACTGAAGATTCGTGTAGGTCCAGGGTCATTCCCATCAAGCAGGATTTCGTAGGAGCTGTGACCGAGAACCTTGGTTAGAAGAAAGAGTGCGATGCACATTTTTCACTGGGAAAATGGATGGGAAAAGGGATGAATCTATCGTTGTATTTGCTTGTCTTCTCCCGGCATTTTCCTTTGAAAGATAACAGTAAACTTGCCAGCCATGTCTCGTGATTGAGTCACATAGGACCTGACAGCTTCACGTTTGTGAGGCAGCACTAAGAGTAGAAATGCCAAAAGCATTAACAGCAGATAAATATTATTTGAAATAATGAAAAATCTTTAGCTGTTCAGTCTCATCTATTAAGCACAGCAAACTGTACAGCAGAACTAATTTAGCTGTGAGGAGAGGTAATCGCTGGACACCATTACTGATGTTCTCTAATCCTAAAGCTGTTTCATCACTACCTTTGCTTCAGACACATAAAATTCTCTACAGTTTTGCTCAATCCTAGCCCTGAATCTTCTCAATCCACCTTGGAGACCCTTTTACCTCTAAGTATCCCTTCAACTGCTGGCAAAGTTCCAAGATAATATCTTGCCTTCTATTTCTAGTGTAAGTCTGGCCCATTTGTCATGATTATAACAATCAACAAATGTCTAGTAGACACATATGTTATACAAAGGCACAGCCAAGCGTCTACCAGGAAAGTTACATGCACATCGTCTGTACCTCCATTTCTCTAAAATTTCTGTTAAAGTGCTCCTCTGGGTGGGCAGGCCTTGTCTTATTAAATTTGGGCCACATCCAGTCAACATGTTAGAAAGGTTTGGAGGGAGAAGGAATATTTCATTTGGTGATTTCTTCCCTGGCCTAAAGGAATTTAACGACATAGTTGGAAAGACATAAACACATCACAAGTTACAGTAATTTGTGTAGAGGAGTGAGGTGAGAAATAGGAAACCTTAATCCTGGTTTCCCATGAATTCGCTGTCACCATGACAGATGACATGATCTCAAGGCCTCATGCCTCCTTTGTAAAATGAGATGGATGGACTGGATGATAATAATGACAACAGCTAAAATACACTGAGCACTTACTATATATCAAGCCCTATAGTAAGCATTTACTGTGGATTAACATGCTGAAACCTTGCAACACTGCTGTGAGGTGGGTACCACTATCATCCTCATTTTACAGATAATCCATGAGATCCTTTCAACTCCAAATTTCTATAATTATGTCACTTCAAGTTAAGTAATATGGTAGACTGCATTTTCCAGAGGTGGACACAATATTTCCTATCTTATATGCTCGCTCTCTCTATATATACACACACACATATATGTGTATATATGTATATAGTATATACACATATGTACATATATAATATATACACATATGTACGCATACACACATACATATATATGCACACACATATGTATATGCACACATATACATATATACACATATATACATATATAATATACACATACATATATACATATATACATCTATAATATACACATACATATATACATAATACATAAATACATATATGTACATACACATATGTATACACACACATGCATATACACATACATGAATGTATATACACATATATGTATACATATATAGACATATATACATATATACATATACACACACATATACATATATAATATACACACATTACACACAATGTACACACATACATACATGTACACACATATGTACCCATATATGTACACACATATGTATATGCACACATATACACATATGTATACACATACATATATGTATATACACATGTATACACACATACATATATGTAGATACACATATGTATCTACACACATATATACATATATATATTTTTTGGCTGGGCACAGTGGCCGACACCTGTAATCCCAATGCTTTGGGTGGCTGAGGTGGGAGGATCACTTGAGCCCAGGAAGTCGAGGCTGCAGTGAGCTGTGATTGTGCCACTGCACTCCAGCCTGGGCGACAGAGTGAGAGCAGATCTCAATCAATCAATCAATCAATCAAGTATTTTTAGAGATGGGATCTCGCTCTGTTGCTCAGGCTGGTCTCAAACTCCTGGGCTCAGGCAATCCTCTTACCTCAGCCTCCTGAGTAGCTGGAACTATAGGTGTGTGCCACTGCACCCAGCTCCTATGCTCTTCTTGAAGTATAACTTTGAGAAGTGGGTCTATCTACCCTCCATTGAATTTGGGTGGCCTTGTGGCTATGAAAAAAGTGATGTCATGTTGACTTCTGAGGCTAAGTCCATAAAAACCAATATAGCTTATGTTAGTTTTCTATTGCTATGCAACAAATTACCCAAAACTTAGTGGCTGAAAACAATACCTGTTTATTAGCTCATGGTTTTGTAGGTCAGAATTCTGGGCACAGCATGACTTGGTTCTCTGCTCAGGGTGTCACACAGCTGAAATGAAGGCGTTAGCTGGGCTGAGTTCCTGGAGGATCAGAGTGGAGGTGGGGACCCGCTTCCAAGCTCACTACATTGTTGGTTGAATTCAGTTCTTTATGGTCATAAGACTGAGATCTCTGTTTCTTTGGTCAGCTGGGAGCTGCATGCATTTTTCGCCATGTGGTCACCTCCACCTTCAGAGCCGGCTATGGAGAATATCCTTCACGTCAAATCCCTCTCATGTTTTGAATCTCTGAATTCTGGTCTCTGACCTCTAGACCCAGATTTAAATGGTTGCTGTGGTTAGGGGAGGCTCACTTGGGGAATCTCTCTGTCTTAAGATCAACTGATTCAAAACCTCAATTACATCTGCCAAATCTCTTTTGTCATGTAATCATGGGAATAATATCTAATGATATTCATAGGTTCCGCTCACACTCAAGTGCAGATTATACAAGGGTGAGGGTCACTGGGGCCATCTTAGAATTCTGCCTACGCGATAGCTTCTACTTGATTCTCTTGTTACGTTTACTCCTGGAACTCAGCCACCATACTGTGAGGAAGCCTAAGCACCCTGTGGAATGGTCCACATGGAAAGAAACTGGCCCCAGTTAACAGCCGCAGCTGAGCTCCCAGCCAGTAACCAGCATCAGCGTGCTATGTGAGTGAGCCATTTTCGAAGTGGATCCTCCAAGCCGCAGGCTGAAATATCCCCACTGGTGATGCATGGGACAGATGAGCTGTCCCTATTAAGTCCTGCCCAAACGGTAAATTTGGGAGTAAAATAAAAGATTTTGTTCTAAGCCACTAAGTTTTGGGGTGATTTGTTATACAGCAATAGGTGATCAAAACCAAGTAACTTATGTGAGACAGTCTGTAAGTACTGAAAGCTTCTGTGGACAAGGAGCGGTAGCTTCTATTTCTTTTAGGACACTGGAGCATCTGGCAGTGTAGGCCTAAAA